AGGCCACAGAAGAACCCTAAATGTCTCAGATACTTAGCTACAGAAGTGTTTTTTTGAGACAGGAAGCAGATATGTTTGCCTGTGTGAGTTTTAAGACGTTCGTCAATGGGTTTTTTTTTGTTGTTGTTGTTGTAGTCTTTAGAAAAAAGACAGGAAGGGCTTGTTTCTAGCTGGAAGCCCAACCAGTAGGTCCTCCATATAGCGTTCTGCATGAAGCACTGTGAGCTCTACAGCTCCCTGAGAGAACTTGATCCTGTCTGTCTGTGTGTTTGTTTGTTTAAGAAACACACCAGTATTTCTTAGATGTGGTCTTTCAGGTTTAAATTAGCTTAAATCTTAGGTTTGAATTGTCCTGGTTTTATTCATAGTGTATATTATTCTGATTCTTTTATGACAGCATCATCTGCCTGCTGCATTCAAGGAAGTGACCATTAGATTTAGATCTTAGAGACAAATATGAAAGCTGAGATAGAGGTATGGCGCAGATAGAGGATTTAACCTACCTTTACTACCCGGGATAGAAAGCAAAGGCAGGGATTGGGATTGGAGTGAGAAAGTTTTACTATTGAGTGTTCTGTAAGATCTGATGATGTGTGCGGTAGATGTTTGTAGGTCAGATCAGTCTATTACAGAGCCTGTCTGAAAGAAGGCACAGCACAGCTGGAAAGCAAGGCCTAGAAAGAAGCAGCAGAGGGACCAGTAGATGGTCTGTCCTAGACCGCTGCTACCTGGTAAAAGCTGGGATCCAGTCTAGCAGAGGAAGCTGAATGCTTCCCAATTTTTGTTAGCCCAGCTCCAATTCTTGCCTCTCCCTCCTCTGTGAGACAAAGCAGGTACATGATTTACCACTCTCCTTTCTACTGTGTTGTGAGATTTTACTAGTGCAGAAACTGCTGCTTTAGGCCTCTCAGCAAGTTTTAAGGAAAAGGGCTTACGAGCAGCATGGTCATATTGTCTTTGGTGCCGAGGAACAAATCTGTAAACTTGCAAAGCAGCGCTTTACTGCTGGGCCCCACCACCCACCCTGCCTCTTCCTCTGCTCTGCTGGAGTTTTTGTTGTTGTTTTTATCACTGGAATAGTTGTGATTTGTCTCTGGTGTTTAGATGTCAGTGATTAATCTTCTGTGTCTTTTCTAGGTGCAGGATGCTCTATATTGAATGTTTGTGTTCCTCAGCCCTTATTGATTGGCATCACAGAACATTGTTTTTAGGTGGAAGATTTGTCCTGATATTTTCTGTTGATTGATCATTAGCTATTGCTTTGGTTCTGCCTTGCTACCTGGCATAAGCAAAAATTAGTTGAATTTGGAGTTTTTAGTAAGGAGACATGCTTGCAGATTAGGAAAGGCAGTGCTCTTGTAGAGGCGTACTTCTTCGACTTTGGTGAAGTATGGCAAAGGTTTCACCAGTACAGTAAGGAAGGAGGGCAGGAAATTTCAAATCTGTGCAGCACAAGTTGTCATTTGTATGGCATATATCAGTGAGCACTCATCTGTGGTGATCTGTCAGCTCCTGTTTCCTGTAACTCATTGTGGGTGATGACCATAAGTTAGCTCAACTTAGACTGGAACTTGAATACAGTTGTAAGAAATCTAGATGCTAGTGATTATTAGACTATCAGCTTCCAGTACTTTCTAAATATCCGAAATTTAAGCTTATAGAAAATTACAGCAACTGTGTAAATCCTGTGTGCCACTTAGCAGGGTCTGACCTTCCTTAATATTTTTCTGAAAGTGTTATTGTACTGTTCTAGTCAGATGTTCTTTGGTTGTGGTTATGTGTGCACAACTGCTTATATATACTTATATACACATGTGGAGACCAGGAGACAGCTTCAGAAGATGTTCACCTTCTTTTTTCAGGAAGGTTTGGTTTCTCTGACTTGGGGCCAGCCCATTAGACAAGGCTGTCTGGCCAGAGAATCCCAGGGATCCTCCTACCTGAGTTCCCAGCACTGTGTTCCACTGTTCTTGTTATTTTTGATTTGGGGCTGGTCTGTTTGTTTGTTGACATGGGTTCTGGGGATCTAACGCAAGTCCTGTTCTTGCACAGCAAGTAGTTTTACCAACAGTCAGTGTTTTTCTTGACTTGAGAATTTGTGTGCATCATATTGTGCTACCTTGTATTCTTTTAGCATGTGAACATTAGCATATGTCCTTCCTGAGGACAAGGACATTGTATTTCATAAGAACTTTACAATAATGTTTATTTTGGTTGCTTGCCTCTTTTTCTTTTCTTTTCTTTTTTTTTTTTTTTAGACTAGGTCTCTCTCTGAAGCACACACTGGCTTGAAACTCAAGGCAGTATTCCTGCTTCAGTCCTAGATGCTAGCTGTATAAGCATGGATCACTATATTCCCAACGCCAGTAAATGTTCATTAACTTGTTTATTTCAGTCCAGGAAATCTAACCTGGACTACTCGCTGCCATTTTCTGACACATTTCTTTGTCCTCACTCATGTTCTTAGGGACATTTCCTCAGGTTGTTGCTGCTGATACCACTGTTGTTGCTGTTCTTTATAGGCACTGATGCTTTTGAAGTGGGTGGCAAACATTTTGTAGACCATCCATCAGATTGGGCTTAGCGGTGTATTCATGCCTGAGGTTAGGAAATGTCTGTCTATGGTGTGAGCTTCTCATTGTACCACATTAGGAGGCATGTGTCCACCCGTATCTTTGTCAGGTATAAATTTTGGTTTTCTGATTAGTATGAGATCTGTTGGGGTCTTCTTTTTCAAAGTTATTTTTCTGTTCTACTAAGTCACCTATGGAGATACACCTTGAAACTCAGTACTTAGTGGCCCTCATATAACCTCCACCCACCAGTTTTAACCCTCTCACAATTTATCCTGAATCATCTACTACAGTTGTGGTGACTCAGGGGATTAATCTTAGGTCTTTAATTGTGTGAGCTGAAAACTGCAAGAGGGAACCTGTTTTCAGCTGCTGAGCCCCTTGGCTTTAAACAGTATTTAGTGTTGAGCAGGAAGCTGTCTCCTGTAATTTGTACGAATTGTTTTAAGCACTTTTGCACTGTTTGAGATAAACCTGCTTTTTTCCTTTCTCTTTAACAGCATTTCACTTGTGTTCTTGTTATTTATTTATTTATTTTACACTTGTGTTCTTTTTTCCCCCCTTAAGGTTGCTCCCTCTAGTTTCTCATTTGTTACTCCAAAGAGATAGCTGGCTTCCCTGAATTTATAGCCATTCTGTCATGTTGCTGGTAAAGCTGATTTACTAGTGGTATACTTGACTATTTGATGCTCAGTTCCAGACATGGCTTGCTTTAAATATAGTTGATCACTGTGACCTGTCATCTAATCAAGCTTGAGGTTCAAGAGCATTGGGTTAAGGAGACAGAAAGATCCAGCCTCAGTTCTGTAGTCTGCAAAGGATGTGTGTAATGTACAGACACTTGTAAGAAAGAGGGTAGAGCATGTCTGCAAAATCTTGTGTGAAAGGTTTTCTAGGAAGTTACAAACTTTGTGAAATATTGGATTATTTCTTCAGTCGTTTGTGTTTATGTAGGTTACAAAGAAATATTTGTTTTGAATAAACTCATTAGTCACCTTTCATAGCATAGCGTGACTTATGCAGTACTTTAGCATTAGATAATGTAAAGTATTTAAAATACTTGGAAGCCATGACTTTGAGAGCTATTTCTTCGTTTTTTTGTTTTTTGTTTTTTGTTTTTTTTAAGTCACGCTGCATTTGCTAAGCATTTATCTTGTATTAATGAAATACTAAAGCTTGTCTTAAACTTTACTATGGATAATGAGAACAGTATAGATATATTGAAACCAGTGTTCATATAAAAAAAAAAAACAGATGGGTATCTGGATTTTCAAGAACAATTTTATTGAAATTTATTTTGCCTGAAGTTTCCTGCCAATAAGAAAGAAAAACATTGAGCCATCTAAGCCTAAAATCTGTTCCTGTGTGTAGCTCTCTGTTGTAGTAGTAAGGCCAGAATTTTAAAAATAGATTGGATAAAGATACAGGCAATAATACTATTCAAGAGTACTCTGTATCAGTTTTCTGACATTCGTTTACTTATTGTGGGGTCATGGTTGGAAGAGAAGTACACATATGCCACGGCATGCATGTGGAGGTCCAAGGACAATTTGAGTCAGTTTTTTCCACTAGTCGGTCTGGGGATCAAACTCAAGTCTTCAGGCTTGGCTTCAAGAGCCCTTACCAGCTGATTCATCTTTCTAGTCCCTGCATCAAATTCTTAAATGTCATTTTCATCTAGGAGTATAATTTTTTTTAAATGGAATCTTCTAACTAAAATAGTTTTATTTGTTTCTGCAGTGCAAAAATGTCATGACTCCCTATGTATACAGTAATGAAATGGAGATAGGATTTTACCTGTAATCACCTCCTAATTTGAAAACATGGTTTTTCTAGTGTTTTGTTTAGTTCAGTTTGAGAAGGGTTACATATTTTTTTACAGAAATGCATTCTTAGTTTTGAGAGAAGCTGTCCCCCACTGCATTTGTCTGCAGCAATGGTGGTACTGTAGGGACAGAAACAGGACCTGTACTATAGGTCTTTCTATCCCATGTCAGACATAAAGCTAGTAACTCCTACTTTCAGAACAAGACTAGGACCTTTGTTTCTAAGAGCTGTTACAGAGTTGTCCATGGAGCACTGAAGGTCCTCAACATGTAAAGATGTGGCATTAATTCTAAGTAAGCTGGTATGGCAGTTATTCTAAATAAATTGCTAAGCTTCAGAAAAATTGAATACCTAGTTAACTAACTTCAGGTTAAATGGTTATAAAAAGTAACTCTTGCTCACATAAGCTTATGGCCCTGTGTAGAAGAATTGCTAGGTCACGGTTATATATTAGTATACTTTTTCATTAGTGCCAACACCCCTCTTTGTATCACTGAAATAGTGAAAGCATTCTTTTAACTTTTAGATGATTAAAATGTGATAAATTTACTTGATAATTTTTAACTGTCTCAACTCTGTTTCGTGTTAAATGTGTTACAGGAATGAATCTGAAGTCTGCTGCAGTAAAACACTGAAGGCTTTAAAATGTTTTCTTGCATAAAACTCAAACTTTAAGTAGCTGCTTATGAGGATAGGAAAGGCAGGAAGCTAATGTCTGTCTCAAGACACAGGACAGCTGTTTGCTCATCAACCTCAACTGTGTGAGTAGACTTAAGCCTGTAACCTTATGTAAGTGGACATAGAACTTTAAATTAAGTAAAGATACAACTGAGTCGGCATGATGAGACTTGAAGGCCTCTTGTTTCTGGTGGGTAGGATTTGAGGGGTGACTTGGATAGTAGATTTTTAGTCATAAGATATTATTAGCAGTAACGCAATGCTGGTGATCACACAACTTTAAGAAATTACCTTAGTTAGAATCTGCATGACTAATTTTCTTGTCAAGAAAAGATTATGATTTTTAAAAAATTGGTGTTATTTTATAGTTAATTTTAGCCAACGATAAAATTTGTTTTAAAAATTATGTGATACTAAAAAGGAAATTTCTTTCTTATAATCTAGGAATTTATACAGAGCATTACCTGAAACAAAAAGAATGCTTGTTTCTTAAGTGTAGTTTGAAATATTTTAGTGTGTTTTATTATTAAAGAACTTGGACACGATAAATTCATAGTGTGGATGTGAAAGGATTTTTCTCTCTTTTGCTAAGAGTTATCACCTCAAGAATCCTCTTAAGAAGATACCTGTTTTCCTTTTTTGTTGATGGATTTTAGGAATGAGGCTCTAAATTGGATTCCCTTCTCTTCAGAAGGTGTGGTGTGTGGATGGGTTTCTGGAAGTGTGCAGGGACTGAGCAGAGTAGTCATCCTGTCCACAGACGCAACATTTAACTGTGGGTGAGGCATTGAGCTCGCATCAGAGGTTTGCTTGCCATGTTTAAGAGGAGTCACTTTCTCTTTAATGTCACAAATGGACTATCCTTCAAAGCAGTGAACAAGAAGACACAGAAAGCAGTGAAGAATGTGTATTGAATATGGATAATTCCTTTGAAAACAAAAAAAAATCCAAAGGCTTCTGTTTGCCCATTCTCTTTATTCATTGGTCAGGTGATACACATGTTTGTATCTAAGGAGCTTCAGAGGGGTGATATGATATCTCGTTTAAGAATGACAAGCCTCATTTTACTGGTGTTCTGGCCTACTGATCAGACAACTTAACTCTAGCCAGTAGTTTGGCACTTTGCTGATAAAGCCAAGATAAATTATTTGGTGCTGCTTTAAAAAAAAAAAAGAAAGAAAGAAAAAATCAGGAATCTAACACTTTCCCATTTTTAATGTCAACAGTAAAGAAATCAAAGTGAAAGAAGCATTTGGGACAGGCTAATGAAGCTTGTGATTTCTAAAGTCAGATTAGGCAGAAAGGAAACTCGGTAGGAAAGGGAAGCCTGATAACTGGAAGGCAGGTGGGAACGTAATAACTAGGCAATGGGTGGCTGGTTTCCTTTTCCCCTGGCTTCTGCCTCTTTGGAGTGAGTACTCTTGTCAAGGGTGTGGGGGCCAGTGCTAAGGAGCTGTGCAGTCTACTTCAGCCAAAGGTCTGCAGACGTGCGTGCTCTTCCCTGTCTGCCCTGCCCTGCCCTTTACTGTCCCAGGAAGTGTGTTTTACCCAGATTTATTTGCATTTGCATTTCTTATGTAGCATAATGGAGTTTTGGCTACATGAGATACAGTGGCTGTTTTTAAGTGCCCAAACTATAGATGCAGGCTGTCCTGGTTTCATATCCTAGGTATTACTTTTAATAGCCAGATGAAATTTGAGGAATCACTTAACCTTTCAGTGCCTTTGTAAAACACAGTGATAATTTTCTACCTAACACAGTGCTAAAGTTCAGTGATTATTTTGCAAATAATTATCATTAATGCGATGAAGCCTCTGTTTCTCTTTGAGAGGAATAATACTAGGAAATAAAAATCCTCAAACTAATAGTATAGTTTTCTTTAGTTTTTCTCATGCTGGGGATTGAACCTGCAGTCTTATTGATGTTAGGCAGATAATCTTACCACAGCTACATTCCCAGCCACCAAATAATAGACTTTGGAGTTACGTGTGTGTGTGTGTGTGTGTGTGTGTGTGTGCGTGTGCGTGCGCGCGCGCGTGTGCGCGCGCGCGTGTATGTAGGCCAGAGAACAGTTCAAGGGAGTCAGTTCTCTCCCACCACCATGTGGGTCCTGGAGCTCTAACTCAGGCTGCCTACAAGCTTCTCTCACTAAGTTAACACTAAACATTCAGAAATCAGAAACGTAATTCAGCTAAGATGCCACAAGAACCATCCCAAGCACAGTGAATGATGATCTTTACTCATCTGTCCTCTCACTTTGAACCTGCTGCCGGTATCCACCCATTTCACACTCTTGAGAGTCACACAAGGTACTAACTTACTGTTTTGGACAGTGCTGTTGTACCGGATAACACCGATGTTAGTCCGATGTTTATCTATGGCTCTATTCTGTTTATCTTGCCTGATGTGGGTGCTGGAAACTGAGCTTGGGTTCTCTGCAAAAGCAGTACACTAGTGCTTTTAATTTCTGAGCCATCTCCAGCCCTACAGTAATTCTTTTAAAATATGAAACTGGTGTGTCAGCAAGCATTCATATAGATACTGAGGTTTGTCAGTGACCACATTTTGGATTGACATTCACCACTTGACCTCTTTGTGTTATGAAAATGGAGGCTAACCATATCCAGGTTGGCTCTTAAAAATATAGAACAGTGTTTCCACATGCATTTTTAGCCATTTAAACTCCATTGTTCAAATAAAATCATCTAGAAATTGGGCATTGTAAAAATACCAAAAAGAAACTCTAGGAGCAGATATGTGGTGCCCTTCAGTATTCTTTTTCTGCACCCCTTTCATCCAGCTGCATACGTGATGGAACAAAACATACTTAGATCACATAAACCTGATGAAGAATTACCTAAGTGATACAATTCAGAAAAACTGCACATTATACTTTAAAAAGTTTTAGTTTGGGGGCTGGAGAGATGGCTCAGTGATTAAGAGTGCTGTCTGCTCTTCAAAGGAATCTGAGTTCAACTCCCAGCACCCACATGGCAGCTCATAACTGTCTGTAAGCAGTTCCAGGTAGTCTGACACCCTCACGCCAATGCACATAATAGAAAGTTAAATAAATTATTTAAAAAAATTAGTTTGTAACTCTGGCTCCTACTAGATGGATTGTTATCTAAAGCTAGTTATGATAACTATAGATGTGAAATTGGGAAAAAATGATACCAGAAAAGCAGCCTTGAGTCCCGTGTTTTATTTTATAGGTGTTGTTGACCATATTGTATTATTTTCTGCTTATAGACTATATGAAATACTCTTGTGTTATCTGGGTGAAAGTTAAAGTGTCTCTCCTGAGTATTCTGTTCTTCCTAAGAACTCCTATTAATTGTACTAACTGCTGGGAGAAATAACACCGACTAGTTTCAGATTAGCAAGTAGGTCCTTTAGGCTTACTGCATTTTATTTAATGACAGAGTATTAGTTTTTTGTTTGTTTTTTTTTTTTTTTTCTCATTCCTGTGGGGAAGGAAAAAAAATTAAATTCCTAGGTAATTGTGATTGTTTAGCAGGTAAAGGCACTTGCTGCCAAGCCTGACAACCTAAATTTGATCTCCAGGACCCACATGGAGGAAGGAGAAAACTGATTCCTTTAAATTTGTCCTCTGACCTCCACACATGTGCACACAGTACTATCTCCCTCTTTTTTTCTCTCTCTCAACAAATACTATCTTAATTAGGGTTACTATTGCTGTGATGAAACACCATGACCATGGCAGTTCTTATAAGAAAAAGTATTTAATTGGGGCCTGCTTACATTCGGAGGGATAGTTCATTATTGCCAATAGCACAAGTAAAGCAGCATGCTGGTAGACATGGTATTAGAGAGGTAGCTGTGAGTTCTACATCCAGATGGGCAGGCAGCAGGATGAGCAAGAGACATTGGGCCTCTCTTGAGCTTATGAAACCCCAAAGCCCACCTCAAGTGACACACTTCCTAATAGTGCCACTCCCTATGAACTTATGGGGCCTTTTTCATCAAACCACCACAAAAACAAATTTAAATTTTTATTTAATTTCAATATTTAATATTGAATTTAATATTTTAATTAATTAAATTTAATATTAAATTTATATTTAATAATGTAAATTATTAAATCTTCCCATAATCCCTCCCTGCCAACTTTTTCCATCCTCCATAACTTTTCCCTTCCAAGTTCATGTGCTCTGCCTCTGATAATTTTATTTTTTAAGTGTGTGTTGGTGGGGGTGGGGGGGTGTCTGTGTGCATGTGCTCACAGGTGCCCATGGAAACCAGAAGAGAGCATTGCAGTTCCTGGAGCTGGAGTTACAGGCTGTAGTGAGATGTCTTATGTGGCTGCTGGGAATCGAACAGAAGAACAATACTTGCTTTTAATGACGAACCATCTTTCCCATGTGCCTTTTATTTTTTTACAACCTCACTGAGTCCACTCAGTATGTGCATGGGTAGCCTCTCGGGGTCTACACACTTAGAATGAGTGGGTGTTTTATGTTTTATAAAATTGACAAAAGCAACTTAAGGAAGGGTTTATTTTGGCTGACAGATCAAGGATATAGTTTTGATGGCAGGAGTGTTGGGCAGCTGTCACATTGTATCCATAGTCAGTAAGCTGGTGCTGTTTGTACACACACAGACACAGACACACACGCACGCTTAAGTTACCCAGCCTGGAATCCCAGCCCATGTGATGGCTCTACCCACTCTCAGGGTAGTTCTTCTTTCACTGAAAGCAACCTCATAGATTCATTGAGAGTATATGTCCAGGGTGATTCTAAATCCAATCAAATTAACAATGAGGATTAACCACCATAAACACTATCTCTGACCTTTTCTCCCTACTGTTTTCTCTTTGATAGCCATTTTTACCTACTTTTGATGTCATGCAGCGTCCATTTTTATCACTGTGAACTTTCTTCAAAGCAATATGAAATATGTAAGTGAAATGGTAATAATGTAGTAAGCAGTACTTTTTAGGGCTCCGTCCAGTTATAAGGGGGGAGAATTCCCTTTTGCCTGATCATTTAACTGCAAACTCGACGTTGCCATAGATAAGAAGCTTTTCACAGTGTTAACTTATTCTGTTTCTAAGGTTAT